GCCCCCTGGGGGTCCCCACCTCCAGTTGACCACCCAGCACATCCTCTGTGCCCAGTCAGATGGAGGAGTATAAACGCTAACTCAACCCCCTCAGGCCATCACAGCTTTCACTTCAGATGCCCCAGGGTAGAGTCCGGGCTCCCCCAGGAGCTGCTTACCTCCTGAGTAAAAGCCTCACTCACTCACCCATTAAGCGTCTGCCTTCAGTTTGGGTCATGGTCCTGGGATCCTGGGATCAAGCCCCGCATCGGGGCTTGTTTAAAAATTTTTGTTCTGGGGCGCCTGGGTGGCTCAGTAGGTTAAGCGTCTGCCTTTGGCTCAGGTCATGATCCCGGCGTCCTGGATCGAATCTCTTATCAGGCTCCCTGCTCAGCAGAGCGTCTGCTTCTCCCTCTGCCCTTCACCCCACTTGTGCTCTCTCTCTCAAATAAGTAAATAAAATCTTTAAAAAAATATTTTATTTATCACTTAACTGACTGAGCCACCCGGGCGTCCCATAAATGAAATCTTAAAAAAAAAAAGTTTTGTTCTGTTGTTTATTATTTTTGAGTCTTAAGAGTTCTTTCTGGGGCGCCTGGGTGGCTCAGTTGGTTGGGCGACTGCCTTCGGCTCAGGTCATGATCCCGGAGTCCCGGGATCGAGTCCCGCATCGGGCTCCCGGCTCAGCGGGGAGTCTGCTTCTCCCTCTGACCCTCTTCCCTCTCGTGCTGTTTCTCTCTCTCTCTCTCAAATAAATAAATAAAATTAAAAACAAAACAAAACAAAAAAAAGAGTTCTTTCTGTATTTTGGGTAACAGTCTTTTATTAGATGTGTTTTTTGGAAAGTGTTTCCCCCTTGTCTTCTCATTCTCTTAATATGGTCTTTCACAGAAGTTTTTTTTTTTTTTTAAAGATTTTATTTATTTATTTGAGAGAGAGAGACTGAGAGACAGAGAGCACGAGAGGGAAGAGGGTCAGAGGGAGAAGCAGACCCCCTGCTGAGCAGGGAGCCCGACGCGGGACTCGATCCCGGGACTCCAGGATCATGACCCAAGCGGAGGGCAGTCGCCCAACCGACTGAGCCACCCAGGCGCCCTCACATAAGTTTTAATATTGTGAAGTCTTTATTAATTATTACTTTCATGGATCGTGCCTTTGGTGTTATGTCTAAAAGGTCATCGTCATACCCAAGGTCATTCAGATTTTCTATGTTATCTTTTAAGGGTTTACATTTAGGTCTGGGATCCATTTTGAGTTAACCTTTGTGAAGGTGTAGGGTCTGTTTCTAGATTCACTTTTTGCACATGGACATCTAGTTGTTTCAGCCATTTGTTGAAGAGATGACTTTTGCTCCATCATTTTGCCTTTGCTCCTTTGTCAAAAATCATTTGATCACATTTAGGTGGGTCTGTTTCTTTTTTTTTTTTAAGATTTTATTTATTTATTTTTCAGAGAGAGAGAGAGAGAGCACGAGCAGGGAGAGAGGCAGAGGGAGAGGGAGAAGCAGGCTCCCTGCCAAGCAGAAAGCTCAATGCAGGGCTTGATCCCAGAATCCCAGGATCATGACCCAAACTGAAGGCAGACGCTTAACGAACTGAGCCACCCAGGCACCCCTGTGGGTCTGTTTCTGAGTCCATTGATCTATTCATCAACTTTTCATCTGTATCACAGTCTTAATCACTGTATCTCTTCAGTCAGCTTTGAAGCTGGGTAGTATCCTCCAAGTTTGTTCTCCTTCAATATTGTGTTGGCTTTTCTGGGTCTTTTGCCTCTTCATATAAACATTAGAATCAATTTGTTGATAACTACAAAATAACTTGCTGCAATTTTGATTGGGATTGCTTTGACTCTATATATCAAGTTGGGAAGAACAGGCATCATGGTAATACTGAGTCTTCCTATTCATGAACATAGGACATTTCTCCACTTATTTTTGAGTTTGTTCATTAGAGTTTTGCACTTTTCCTCATATAGATCTTGTGTGTATTTTGTTAGAATTATACCTAAGTATTTAATTTTTTTGGTGTTAATGTAAAGGGTATTATGTTTTAAATTTCAAATTCTAATTGTTTCATTGCTGACATATAGGAAAACAAGGGACTTTTGTGTATTAACTTTATATTCTGCAACCTTGCTACAGTTGCTTATTAGTTCCAGGACGGTTTGTTGTTGTTGTTTTGCTGATTCTTTTGGGTTTTTTACATAGGTGATCATCTGCAAACAAAGTCACTTATGCATGCAACCCTTTACTTTCCCATATGTATACCTTTTATTTCCTTTTCTTGTCTTATTGCATTAGCTGGTACAATTGACCCTTGTACAACATGTGTTTGAACTGTGCAGGTCCACTTATTTGTGCACTTTTGTTGGATACAGTACAGTACCATATACCCGCCAGGACCTCCCCTTCCTTGTGCACCTCTCCCCCCATTTTCTCTTCCTTATGATTTTAATAACATTTTCTTTTTCCTAGCTTACCTTAAGAACACAGAATATGATACATATAACATACGAAATATGTGTCAACTGTTTACGTTGTTGGTCAGGCTTCCTGTCACCAGTAGGCTATTAGTAGTTAAGTTTTGGGGGAGTCAAAAATTATATGTGGGTTTTCAACTGTGCAGGGGTTGTTGCCCCCAACCCCTGTGTTGTTCAAGGGTTAACTGTGTTTCCAATATGATGTTGAAAAAGAGTGGTGAAAGGCGTTTATTGCTAATTAGAAAAAAAAAAATTCCTCAGGTGTCACCTCCGACCTTTTACCCAGTGGCACCACTGGTAGGCGTGATAGCCTTCAGGTCTTTTTTGGGATGTCACCTTCTCAGACTGGCTTTGTCTGACCGTCATTTACAGATGCAGGCTCACTCAAACTTACTATTCTCCTTCCTGGCTTAATTCTTTTTCTACAACAGTTGCCATCAGCTAACATACTAGACTTTTTCTTTATTGTGTCTATTGTCTGCTCCTCCTCACTTTTCACCAGAACCTAAGTTCTGTGAGGGTAGATTCTTGTCTCTTTTGTTCACCACTTTTCCCTCAGTGCCTAACATGTAGTGGGTGCTCAAAAAAGTTGTTAAAAGGGATTAATGAATTATGGTATATGTATAGTCCAGATTACATGGGATTTTGCCTGAAATTTTCTTCTGCTTCCTGAGGTAATTATTTTTCTGATGTGTATGCTTCACCTGCCTATTGTTTGCATTTCTTTTCTTTCCCCCTCTCTTTTGGAGACTGCATTCCTAACTCCAGCACTAGTTCTTTTTTTGTTATGAAACATCTGTGAGTAGAGAAAATCCCATGTGAACTACATACTTGGGGAGGAGAGGGCAGCATGAGCTATGGGCACCTGGTAACTACTGAGCAGGTATGTGGCAGGTGAGCAGTGTCCTCTGCCCTGTTAGGCACTGTGCTCCGTGGACCAGCGGGGCTTGTGAAGCCCACACGTTACGGGGGACTTAGTGTCTACAAGCATTTGCTGGCTACTCTGGTCAGCAGTGGCAGGGCTGAGTGACCCTTCCAGCGGGGTCATTTCTAGAATCTTCTCAAGGCCAGATGGTGGTGTTCATCTTGTCCTTCTTCCTTTGGGATCCTTCCTGCTGCCCTGTGTTCATGGTGAGGCATGACCTAAGGGTACAACTGGGGCCAATCTCACGAGGATTGTTTGGGCTGCCGGGTGGATGGACTGCCTACCTACTGAATGTAAGGAAGTACAGAGAATCCTGGCCCCAGAGACATCCAGGCCCTAAGCCCGAAACCTGTTATTGTCACCTTACATGGCAAAAAGGACTTTGCAGATGTGATTACATAAAGAATATTGAGGGGCGCCTGGGTGGCTCAGTCCATTAAGTGTCTGCCTCTGGCTCAGGTCATGATCCCGGGGTCCTGGGATGGAGCCCCGCATCGGGCTCCCTGCTCGGTAGGCAGCCAGCTTCTCCCGCTCCATCGTTTGTGCTCTCTCTCTCTTAAATAAATAAAATCTTAAAAAAAATAATATTGCTTGAGATGGGGAGATTATCCTGGTTCCTGGAGGGGGGCAGTGTAATCATAGGTGTCCTTACAAGAGGGAGGCAAGGAGGGCCAGGGAGAGATGTGACAGATGACAGACACAGGGAGAGAGGGGTATGGAAATGGCAAGCTGCTGGCTTTGAAGGTGGAAGCAGCAGCCCTGAGCCAAGGAATCCAAGCAACCTTTAGAAATGGGGAGAGGATGAAGCAGATTCAATCCTAAAGCCTCCAGGAGCCTGGTCCCTTGGTTTTAGGACTTGTGACCCCCAGAACTGTAAGATGATACATTCTACTATGTCTCTGGAGATCTGTTATGGCAGCCACAGAGATCCCATACAGGCAGAGCACCAGCCTCCCTCCCAGGATTGGGACCCATCTTCAGACAGCTGCCACCCCCAGGGAGGACCTGGACTTCGACAGCATCGTCCAGTCTCTGGTCAGTACTCTCCCAGCATGCCCCCGACCCCGAACTTCCATGTACACGAACAGAAGTCAGATAAGCACCCCGCCTCCCCATTATGGCATAAACCAGCTTGAGCTGGGTTTTCTGCTTCTGGCAACTCAGCGGAGTCCTGCCCCCAACGTGGTTAGAGGACACTGCCCACCTGGGGTGCCGAGTTCACCTCCACCTCCTGGGAAGATGGGGTAGGACTAGCGTCCAAGTTCTGTTTTCAGAAGGGAGGGCAGTGAGATGGCTGACTGTTCTTTTCTCAAAGGTGCGAAGGCCCTGCCCCGTGTCTGTTACGGGTGGCCGCGTGACTCCACAGGCACAGAGTGGCAGGAAGAAGACGGGAGCCCTTTCCCCTGGAGGTCCCACCTCTTAAGCTCAAGGGGAAGCGGTGAGTGGTCCTGAGTGTGGACGGGGGCGGGGGTCAGTGTGGCTGCCGCAGCTGTGAGTCAGGAAGGGCCGAAGGGGCAGAGACAGTGCCCAGGGCTCTCTGGCAGTCGAGAATCATCTCTGCCCTCCCAAGAGAACCAGGCAGGGGACAAATCAGAACTAAAAAAAATATTTCATTTCATTCTGAATAAAAAACGGAACAGACAGAACTCTCGGAAATCCTGAAAACAATGTCATCGCTACGGCAAAATTTCACAGAAATCATCGCACAGAGTGTGGAGACTTAGCGCGGGCCCCAAGCAGCTGTGGGGGCTGCCTCTCTGGGGAGGGGCATGAAGGGGGAGGTGGCCCCTGGGGGCCAGGCACAGGTGGTGGCTGCACCCCTGGGAGGAGCCCTGCCAGGTCCCCAGGGACAAAGCTCAGGGCCCGGCCTCCAGCTACCACCACAGGACTGTAGCCAGGGGCTGGGAGGGCTTGCCTTGTCATCAGGGCCCCTCTGTGCGGGAGGCTTTCCGGCTGCGTGTGCCCCACATCCCCCGCTTGGAGTGGTAGTGATGGTAGAAATTCCTCAGTCGGAGCCGCTCTACCTCCAGCCCTGCCTGCAGGACCCTGGGTAGAAAGGGGGTGTCAGGACCCTGGGGAGGGGTGGCAGAGGGAGGCAGAGCTGCCTGCAGGGCTGGGGGTGGGGGTGGGGTGAGGACCTGGTGGTAGGGGTATAATTGTGGCTGCCCTAAGTCTTCTGGAATAGGGGGGTGGGCAGGACCCTGGCCCAGGGGCTGGGGGGGGGGTCAGGGATTCCACTACTGTAGGGCTCTGGTGGGAGATGGGGACTCGGGGCCACCACTGGGCCTAGAGGGTCTGGGGACAGAGTCTATTCAAAGGCTGTCCCTGAGTCTGCAGGATCCTAGAGGTAAGAAGGGGTTTTGGGGATTAGGGTGGGGATTAGGGTGGGGATTAGGGTCAAAGGGTTTCTTCCTAGGCCCACAGATCCTGGGAGATGAAGCAGAAGGACAGAGTCCCTGCAGCACATGAGGACCCCTCGGGCTGCCCCCTCCCCATTCAGAGGAAGCTATGGAAGTGTCCTTAGTCTCCCTGAGGGGTGGGGAGGTGGTCACCTGTCCAGGAGTTCCCAGTCCTCGCCCCCCCACTGGTCACGGAACTCCTCAGTATTCATTCCTCCGACGCGGTCAAAGTCTGACTTGTAGATCCCGAAGAGGCCAAAGCCATTCACCTCCCAGTAACCTGGGCAGGGAGGTGCCCTTCAGACACCAGGTCCTGCAAGCCTTCCTCCCCAACCTCAGGAGTGGGTCTGGTACAGGGTCCCATCATCAGAGGGGCTCTCAGGGGGTCACTCTTCTGTGGGGGGTCATAATCTGGAGCCCTGCACATGACTGGGGTGCTGGAGGAGGTCCCTAAGGGTCAGGCATGACCCTGGAGGTTCTGGGGGGAGGACCTGGGGTTCTGGGCAATATGAGGGGCATTGATGGGTCCCCAGGCCTACCTCAGGAGTTGGGAGAGGCCCGCAGGGGCCTAGATTTTACCCTGGCATTGGTGGGACTCCTAGCGTTTACTGGGGTGGGGGCATCCTGGGCATTACCATGAGGGTCCCCTGGCGAGCTCCCGCAGCCCAGGCGCATGACCACAGGCGCAAAGGCCAGCTTGCCCTCCACACAGTGTTTGCGGATGCCGTCCAGGATGTTGGGGGGGAAATGGATGTGCAGATCGCAGAGGAAAACGATGCTGCTGGCATCCTGGAGGTCAAGGTCACGGGGAAGTCTGAGCCCCACCCATTCCTCCCCAAGCTTAGCTCCTCCCTTGGCTCCCCCCATTTCGCTCTCCCTACCGCCCATCCCTCCCACGCACCTCCACCGCGTCCACTCCAGCTTGCAGGCCCGCGGAGCGCTCAAAGTTTCCAGTTCGCCTCAGGTACTGGTACCTGGGGGTTGAGGGAGAGCAGGGGGTGGGAAGTCACAGGCACGGGTCCCTGGGGGCAGGGGTAGGAAAACCCACCTCCCCGAGGAGGCAAGATGCGCTCGGTCCTCCCCAGTGGGGGTGGAGGGCACTATTACCGGGGCAGCCGAGCCGCACGCAAGGCCCGTTCCACATCCATATCCTCGCTCTCAAAGTCCACCAGGATGACGCTGAAGTGTGAGTCCCCTGTGCGGGTGTGCAGCGCGGCCATGTCCGCCAGGAACTGTGCCACCCAGCGCGCCTGGTTCTTCACTGGTGGAGGATGGTGCCACTGAGTCCATCCCAAGGTGACCTAACCCCGTCCACAGCCAGTGGTTCTCCCTCACCTCGCTGCGAGGTCTCCTGGAACCCCCCCCCACCCCCATCCCAGGTGCCTGGGCCCATGGCACTCCCGCGCACCTGGCACGATGAAGTGCACCATCACATCCTGGCGCCAGGCCAGACGCAGTGGCCTGCACAGCTCCGGGTGGCCGTCTGGGCGCGTGGAGGCCGCGGGAGCAGGCTCAGGACTCTCTCCGTCCCTGTCGCCATCTCCCGCGTGGGCTCCCGGCAGTCTCAGGAAGACGTACTCTGACAGGCGCAGGCGGCCGCCTCCACGCTCCTGCAGCTCCAGCTCCAGGAGGAAGCGGCTTCCGCGCGCGGAGTCTCGGCGCTTCTCCACGTTCACGATGCGCAGAAGCGCGTAGCGCCTGGGAAGCGCGGCTGGGTCAGCACCCTTGGGCTTCGACCTTACGTTCCTCCCTCTTCTCCGCCCCCAACCCCAGAAACCAGGTGGCCACTCAGCTGATGGGCTGGGGTAGCTGCTGTGAATCCTCTGCCCTCCCAGGCTGCTACAGCCCCCTCACCCCTCATGCCCTGCTGGGGCATTCAGAGAAGACAGGCCCACATTGTGTGCCTCCCCCTCCCCAGGGTAGTGCACACTTGTAGGTGTCCCCAAGCCCAGGCCAGTCCTTTCCTCCTCTGTGGTCTTCCTGCCACCACTCACATCCACAGTGATCTTTACGACATGCTCAGAAAACTTCAGGGCCACCCACTGTCCACAGAATGGGGTTTGGATGTCTTAAAGTGGCATTCTAGGACCATAAGCAGATTCTAACTTGCCTTCAATGTCCCCTCATGCTGAGTAAGCTGACTTCCTCTTCCTACAGGGTTTTTGTTCTGGGGTATCCAATCTGGCATGCTTGCCCCAATCGTGCCCTGCAGGGGGTGCCACTGGGCCTACCCTGAGCCTCTTCTGTCCCTTCCCCCCTTCCGGCCCTGCTGAGCATTTTTCATCCTCCACTCTGCCTTCAAGCAGAGCCTTCCCATCCTGGGAAAACAGGATCCTGCCCGTGCTAAGATTGCTTCTTCCTTCTGCTGCATGTCTTCCCTTTGCAGGCAGCACCCCTCACCATGGGAGTCTACCTGAGTGACCTCCAAGGGGTACATACTCCTCCTGTCAACCCCTGCCATCCCCACTACGCTCTGCCCCAAATGCTCTGGGTCTACCTACACTCTCAGTCCTTGGGGCCATTCATAGGCTCTCTTAGAGCCAAGGGCAGGCTCACACTCAGCCACCTAGAATCAAATCCCTGCCCCTCACGTGCCATCCCATCACTGCCCTGGACCTAGCCTGTCAGTCATGGCCCCTATGAGCTTCCCACCCTGTCTATTCCTCTGCAAGGCAGCGACAGGTCTGTCTTCAACCCAAACAGGTCAAACCCCTGTCTTGCTCAAAACCTTGTATCAAAAGTAAGAAAAATGAGCGCTGAGCAGGTTGTTCAAGGCCCACAATTACCCCTTCTCTAGTCTCTACACACCAGGCCCCTGGCCCCTTGTCCCAGTGCCTTTGCATACCATTGCTGTCTGTGTAGATTCTGCTCTTCCTTCAAGGCTCACACAACTCAGAACTCACCAGTGCCACCAGCGGGACCAAGTTGAGGCCTCCCACTCACCACACCACTACCTACGCGGGGATGGAGACAGGCCTAGATTCCTGGGGCTTGGGGGAGACCAGAGACAGCCATGGGGCAGGAGCCCTGTGCCCTCCCCTGGAGTCAGAGGAAGACCCTCTTGGAAGACCCAGTAGCATTGTGCCAGGAGAAAAGGAGGGGTCCAGAGACTCTCAGGTTGACTTTTGGATGTGTCTCTATTTGGTGGAGAGTCCTGGCTGGCTCAGATTCATTCTTGGGTTCAGGCCTAGGGTGACAGGGTGGGGTCTGGAGGTGCACAGGGGAGCCAGCCCTCCGTGTGTGTGTGTGTGTGTGTGGGGTGAGGCTTCTAACACTGGACAGGAAACCTAGACAATAAGAAGCTCCAGAAGGCACAGAAGAGACAGGCAGAGAAGACTCTTCCCTAGTGGGTGTATTTGCACTCCCAGGTCAGTACCCTGAGCACAGAGGCTAGGGCTTCCCCTTCCATGTGCACTTCTCCTCCCATTCCCGCTAGGGCCTCCCCTTCCCATGTGCGCCCCTCCCCCCATACCCTTTAGGGCCCCTCCTTCCATGCATGCCCCTCCCCCCATACCCCCTAGGGCCTCCCCTTCCCATGTGCGCCTCTCCCCCCATTCCCAGTAGGGCCTCCCCTTCCATACGCGCCCCTCCCCCCATACCCGCTAGGACCTCCCCTTCCATGTGCGCCCCTCCCCCCATACCCGTTAGGGCCTCCCCTTCCATGTGCGCCCCTCCCCCATACCCGGCGTGGCGGGCGTTGAGCCGTTCCATGTATTGAGCCACCACGTCCACCGCCTCAGCCTCAGGCAGCTGCAGGTTCCCGGACACGTTGCAGCGCAGGTCGTTCCAGTCGGAGCGCAACAGCTCGAAGTCCATTGCGCCCACACTGAACGTGCGCTGCCAGTCAATGGCGTCCTCGCGCCAGCGGCCACGGGGGGGCCCCGCCGCCTCCTCCTCGCTGTCCTCCTCGCCCTGGGCCCCATCCTCATCTGCTTCCTCCTCCTCCTCGACCTCGTCCTGCCCAGGCAGCTGTGGCCTGGACACCTGGGACAAGCTCAGGAAGGAGGTCACAGGCTGTGCTTCTGACGACAAGTTCAAGACCGCGGTGGGTGCCGTGCGTCCCAGCATGTGCGGCTGGCCCTCCTGGCTCTCCCGGGTGGCTTGCGCCCGGGCAGAGGGCCTCAGCTCTGTGGCCAGGGAGCCACCGGTCCTGCGGCCTCGAGACCGGGGCGGGCGTGGGGGTGCCCGCAGCTGCACCCGGGGAAGAGGTCTGGGACGGAGGAAGACTCCAGGGAAGGGCGGCCAGGGCGGGCCGCGTGGGCTGAGAGGTGCCAGGTCCTGCGGGGGTGCCCGTAGTCCCGGCCGCACCCGTGTCACATACACCTTTGGGGGCGGCTGCTCAGCGGCGGCTCGGGGGCGCAGGGCGCGGCCCAAGAAGAGGGGCAGGGGGCGCGCAGCCCGGGCAGCCCAGCTCAGCGCCCGGGAGCGCCTGGGGGTTGGCAGGTCCCGGGTGCTGGGAGGCGCTGGCGGGGTAGGCATGGTTCCCGGTGGTGTGGTGGGGGCCACGGGGGAAGGGAATCGGCGGCCGCTCTGCAGGGGGGACGCCTCCGTAGGCTCCAGACTGTCTAGCAGCTCCCCCTCGTCCTCATCGTCCAGGAAGTCTGTGGGAAGAAGCATGGTTAAGCCTGCCACGCCCAGGTGGGCACAAGCTGGGGGGACTGGGGGGCACTCACCATCCGGGTTGAGAAAGAGGAAGGCTCGGCGCTGCACCTCTTCCTCTTCATCTTCCTCCCCCTCCTCTCTGTCCATCTTCATGTACTTATAGAACCCAAACCTGGGTTGGGGTGGGGCATCAGAGAGGATACCTCGCCCCGCCCCAAGAGGCCCCGCCCTCATTCCTTGCTGGTGCCCCCCCCCCCACCTTTCCAAGTATAGCGGCGACTCCCGGTAGAAGCACTTGTTTTCCGTCTCCATGTGAGTAAGGCGCGTGTGATCATTGGGGTAGACGAAGGACAGGTACACCTGCGGGTGGGGCAGAGGGCTCAGGGGACCCTGGGAGGGAGGTCCAGGTCTCAGGAAGGTCTTGGTGAGGGGCACTTACAAACTGCAGTCCCTGGTATCTCGCAATGGGAAAGTCCTTGACAACATAGGTGGGGGCGTAGGTGCAGGGCTCCAGCACATTCTCCAGACTTGAAGGCTCCACCCGAGGAGCTGTTGGAGGAGTGGTCACAGAATGGCAGGCTGGGCGTCCCCGCCCCACCCCCCTGCAGGGTCCCCTCTCACTGAGGAAGAAGGTGTCTCGGGGGTCTGGGCGCAGCATGTCAGCTCTGGGCTCCTCCTGCGGCAGGTGCCCCCCAACATGGCTAGCTGGAGACTGGGGGACGTGGGCCACATGGTCCATCTTCAGGGATGACTCATCTGGAGGCAGAGGGATGTGTGGGGTCCCCAGGATTACCCAGAGACCAGTCCTCACCCCTCCCCACCCACATCCAGCACCCATCCCAGAAACCACGCATCAGGAGCCCACCCCACTTCCCAGAGAGGTACTGGGCTCCACACCTGTGTACAGGGAGATGTGAGCAGAGCCTATGACCTCAAACTTCAGGCCCGGCAAGAAGGCTCGCCACTGGGGGAGAGAGAGAGTGGTCAGGATCAAAGGGTGGGGGTGAGAATGGGAACAGAGCGTGAAAGGAATGGGTCTTCTCTGATGTGGGCATGGGGAACTAGTGGGGGTAGCCCCTTCAAGGGTGCAGGAAACTTGGAGGGTGGATGGGAGAGGGGTTCTTGGTGGCAGGTAAGGACCCCCCCATGCTCCCTCCAGGCCTTTCCTGACACCCTAAGCATTCTCTTGCCTGCGGGTTATGGCTTTCCTGTGGCCTGCTTCCCCATTCTACAGCCAGTGCTCTCCTGGAGGTCACAGCTGACCTCCCAAGGGCTGGCACACCTCACCCCCCTAGCTCTCCCCCCCCTGTGTCCCCACTCCTGTGGCTGCTCGCCCTCAGTCTCCTCTGCAGGCTCTGCCCCTCCCTCCCTCCTCTCAAGCTGGGGTTTCCAGGAGCTGCTCTAGGCCCTCTTCCCTCCCTACCTCATTCTGGGTCCTCTCGGCACCCTGTTGTCTTCCACAAGATCACCCTAAACCTGCGTCTCCAGCCTGGACTCCCTGCCAGCTGAGCTGGGTTGATGCCTGTCACATACACCAGGCACATGCGACATCCCACAGAACTGGGGCTGAGAACCCCCATCCCAATCTAGTCATCACCGCACACACAGCCAGGCTCAGGCCCTCTGTCTTGTGCAAGCCTGCTTCCCCCAGCACCTGCCACTTCTTCCTTTCCCACCTTCCTGGTTCAGGGACCACACATAAAAGACCCCTCCCCCTGGGCTCTCTGCATCAGTGGCGAAAGGGTTTTTCCTGAAATGTACACCCAACTGCTTCATTCTCAGGACAAAGCCAGAGCTGTCCAGGGTTGGCACTGCAGGCCCTACCTGGCCACCGGACCCCTTGGAGTTCTGGAAGAACACTCGGTGTTCCTATTCCTCTGCTGTTGTTGAGATTTGGAATTTGTCTGATGCACCCCACCCCAGATTCTCTCCTCTTTGGGTCTCCCTATGAGTGTCTCATCTCTCAAGACTCTACTCAAGTGACACTTCCTCCATGAAGCCTCTCTGAGCAGGCAGAGTTGACCTTGGGCCCTGTCCCTGAGGGTCTGCTTTGCCAGCTAGATGGGAACTGCCGGGGTGGGAGGCAGGGTCCACACCGTTGCCCTGAAGGGAGTGTTGGGAGCAGAGAGGGCAGGGGAGGGGAGGTGGGTTCTCTGGAAACCCACGGATGGCAGGCCACACTCACACCCACTTCCACGTGGTCTGAGCCTCGGTCGTCCTGCTTGTGCAGCAGCTCAAAGTAGTACCTCCGGGAGGCCATTAGCCTGGGGACATAAGGAATCAGGGGGACATGGCCCTGCCATGCCCCCAGGAGCTCCAAACAGAGAGTGCAGAGAAGACGGGGTGCCCAGGGATGGTCGCCCAGGGTGGTCTGGCCAGGATGGCACAAGTGCAGTGGTTTCGTGTGTGCAAATGTGTGTGCACACTCATGCACACACACTCCCAGCCACTCACCGCTTGGGCTTGGACACCTGGGAGCTGAACTTGGTGAATTCTCCAGGAGCTGTCCACTCTGAGCCAGTCTGGGAAGCGATACAGAAGGGGTGGAGGGGGTTCACCCTCTCCTTGGGGGCACCAGCCTCATCCAGTCCCCGTCCCTTAGAAGCTGGAGGAGGCAGGTGGCGGAGGTGGCAGGAGGCCCAGTGAAGACAGATGGGGTTGTGGGTGGAGGGGCTGGGGCAGGAAGGCTGTGGGGTTGAGGGTACCTTGCCCACAAAGGCCACCAGCTGGGCACTCGCCGGGCTCTCGTTTGGGCTCAGCCAGAACTCAGAGTTGTCATCTGAAGCCACAGAGAACTGGACGTCTCCTAGGCCACAGGACAGGGACTCAGGGGGGTGTGGGGCCCCTTTTGATCTCCCCTCCCTGGCACATCCCCGCCCTCACACCATCTCTTGCCGGGTGGATGAAGCCGAAAATCCGTAGGCCATAGTTCTTCCACTTGGGGGACACAGCCAACTTCTTCACGGTGGTGCGAGTCTGGGGGGGCAGTGATGTCAAAGCCCACTGTGTACCCCTCCCCACCCTGTAGGGCCTGCCCCCCCCCAGCACTCACATGAGGGAACAGTGGGAAGTGCAGGTTCCTCCTCAGATGGCCCACGGCGCCTCCGCACCAGTCCTCAAACACGTGCAGGTTCACCTGCCCCTTGTACTGGGGGGGCGGGAGAGGGGCCTTACCTTCTGCAAAGCCCTACCTCCAGCACTCCCCTGAAGCCCATCACAGCCGCAAGCCAAGCAGAGCTCACCTCTTCCCACCATGGGGGCACCTGATGAGTGAGGTTCAGAGGGGGTGGCTTTCCAGCCCCCACAGGAAACTGCATGTTTGGGTCCCGGCCTTCAGGCTACAGGAGCGAAAAGGCACCGGGGTCAAAGCTGAGAAATGGGAGGGCAGGGAGGGTTCACACAACCACACACAGCGGGACACAAACTTCACAAGGGCTCCCCTGCACACATCCAGCCACAAAATCCCAAATCCATCGTACCCCAACCACACACATCCACATGCCCCTCATCACAGCTGCCCAGGCAGACAATGAGCCACGCTACACGTGCACCACCTAGCCCCCCCAGACACGGAACTCCAGGCCAGGCGATGCTGAGGCATGCACACCAACAGGCCGCACCTGGGTCCTCTGCCCACACAGCCCCACGGGCTCCCGAGGCCACTGGCATGCGAGTGTGTGTGCTGCACACACACATCCTTTCCCACAGGCCTGCTCACCACCTGCTCTTCCTCATGGCTCTCGCTGGAGTCCTCCGCCCTCTGTGTGGATAGTGCAGTCCGGACACCCCTGCCCTCCGTCACACCGCTCAGCTTCTCACCGTCTGTGGGTGGCATGTGGGGCATGACTGGGGCCCTGCTGCTGGGGGTCAGCTGGGGTCAGCGGGGTCTCCCGCGGAACCCGCTCCTTTCAGTCTGCTCCCTCGTACCTGACAGCCCACCTACAGCTGTGCAGCTGCTCTCTGCTGGGCCCTTGTCCTACATCCCTCCCCTAGGGGGTGGGCAGCCCCTTCTCAAGGCCTCGGCCTGGCTTTTCCGAGCTCCCGACCACTGCCAGGGAGCAGAGTTGTGTGCGACATGTACACACTCAACTGGCAGTCCTGGCCAGTGGCTCCGCTGTCAGGAAGGCCCCCAGGAAGTGCCCTCAGCACTTTTCCCCCATACTGAGTGTTTTGTGTCTCCCTCCCTTATCAAACTGTGCTAAGGGTTAGTGCTGGAACTTGTTATTGGGAAAGCTGGTGCTTTTGTCTTAAGGCTAAGCCAGGCCCAGCTCATGGCCACGTGCCACCTCCTGCCCTTGGGGCAGGGGTTCAGGACCAAAGGAGCCCTGGCACCAGCCTGGATGGAAGAGGGGATAGACATGCTGGCCTGGCTGCGGGAGGACCTGCAGCAAACATGGCTCTGGAGAGAGCTGTACCCCTGAGGAAGGCTTCCTAGGTCTGTGGACATCTCTAGAGCTTAGCGCCCCACCCCCCAGGGACACATCCCCTAGCCTGGGGCATTGCCATGCCCCTAACTCCCTCAGATTCCCAGACTTCTTACCCAAGCTGTGGGCCTGAACATCCCACCCTGTACCCTGGGGCAGGGTGGGGAGTGCCACACCCTGGGACCTGAGGCTCTGGGAGGCTTTATTGTATCCCACCTCTGCCCCTGCTGGTGCTCCCACCTAGGGATCCCCAATCCAGGAGCCCCGCCTCTGCTGCAGGGCAAGCCTGGGTTTTGACATCCATGCCCATCCTTCAATCCAGACTCCAGGAGCTAGATTCCTGTGTGGACATAATTGGCCTGAGCCCCTTCTCCAGGACAGGGGAGCTGTCCTTGGTCTCCTGCCTCTGGGACTCCTGTGGCACCTGCCCACCTGGTCCTTCTTCTGGGTTCCTCCCTCACTGCCCTCTGTCCAGCTGGCAGATGAGCCCCTAAGAGGTTCCTGGCCAAATCCCCACAGCCTGGCCCTGATACTCCCTGCCCACCAAGCTAAGTCCATGGGTACTAGGGGACTTCTGTGGTGGGGTTGCAGCCCAGGCTGCCACCACTGTCTTGCAGGGGCTGAGCCCCAGCACAGTGAGGTCTGCAGAGGCCTCCTGCCACACAGGTATCCTGCAGGGTACCAGGAAAGTAGCCCCCCTGCCCCACTCCAATGCTGCCTCCCCAGCTGTAAGTGAGGATAGCACTGACCCAACACTCTAAAAGGCCTCGGGCATGTCTAGCTGCTCAGCTGCTCACAAGCCTTACCTGGGGGGGGGGGGCAGGTGGCTGGACAGAAGGTGGGGGTGCAGCCTAGAGCCAAGACCTGTGGGCTGGAGCTGTTCTGGAAGGTGCCACAGGAGAGTCTGACCTCCCAGGACCCTGAACAGCTCCTGCTCACCCAGGAGTAGTGAGGGCAGTCTGGCCAGTCACCCAGCTTCTCTGCTGGTGTTAGCTGAGAGCAGAGAGGGACTCAGAAATGGAGTTCCCACACCTCACCCCCTCCCAGTTGCTGAGCTAGACTCCCCAGCTACTCAGGAAGTCGAGCTGGGGAGGACTGTGGTTGCTTGGAAAGCCACAGAGGTGACTGGGGAAGGGGGTCAGTTTTGTCCTGTGTCACTGGGTCACGCACTGGGTCCTGCCTTGTTTGCTGATAGCTGGGGAGGAGGGCTTCTTTTAGGGACTGAGCAGCGTTGGGGGCCTCTCAAGAGTGTGGTGGCTGTGAGGTGTGTAGACTCTGGGGGGTTGGGACAAGCTCCAGACCCCTGGCCTGGGAGACCTGTGGAGCCAGGTGTCCAGGCACACAGAGGGGAAGCAGAGGGCTTTGGCAACTGGTAGACAGGATTGGGACTGACCAGGGAGGTTCGGACCCTTTGGTGGAGTGGCCCTGGGTGTTGTGAGCCAAAGTCATCGTTCCAAGTCTTTAGGAAGCAAGATTCTCTCTCTACACCTCCCGTCCTAAGGACACCCAGCACCCTGCTTCCTTAAGAAGGGTCAGGGGCAGTCTGGCTGGGATCTTCCCAGCCCTGGGCAGGGGCTTCTGCTCCCGCCTTAACTAGGATGTGTGGGGGTGGGTGGGTGGGGGGGTTACTTCTGTCCTGAAGTGTTGCCCTCTCTCCCACCCCCACACCCCTTCCGCAGGTTCCAGGCTTTCTGCTTCTCCTCTTCCCACCAGGTCCTCATAGTTTTGTTCCTCCTGCCAGGAGTGCTCTTCCTCCAGATATGTTTCAGCAGCCACCACCTTCAAGAGGGCGTCCAGATCCCCTTAGCTAAAGGGGCACAACCCCTCCCCTAGCTCTTTCTCACAACACTCAGCAGGACCTGATTTGCTCTGTGGGTTCACGGTCCTCACTGGAGTGTGACTTGGAGGGACCTGGGAAAGTTCACTCCAGGCAGTTCAGGGGTCCCCATCATCTCCCAACACAAAAGCATCTCAGTCTTGTTACAGGTTTACCTAGGGCACCCCCTCCAGGAAGCGTTCCAACAGCACCAGTCAGCTCCTTCCAAACCCTTCCCCCACCCCCCGTCGGGAGGCTGGATCTGTCTCTCCCCTTTCCCCAGCAGATGGGTAAACTGAGGCTCTGCTAAGGAGGCAAGTGGTGGAGGTGCAAGGCCTTCTTGAAAATCCCAGCATGCAAGGCCTGGGGGCGATGTCTCAAGAGCCCACCGTAAACCCCGTCACTACTGGCTCCAGGTCAGATCCCGGAGTCCGCCCAGGTTTGGGGACGCTCCCCAGGAGGGTCGCGCACGTCACTGCTGACGTCATTGGGCTCCGGGCCGGGCCGAACCGCGCCCCCTGCCCCAATATCGCCGAGCCAGGTAAGGTGGCTAGGGTCTCCGGGCGCGTCTGGCCCACGCCGAGCCCCGGGCGCGGTAAGAAGGCCCGGACCCCGCGCTGCTCGTGGCCCTCACCGCCCCCCGCCCCCAGGGCGCGCGCCCCCTCCAGTACCTCGCCCGTAGCCCAGCCGCTGGCGCAGCGCGCGGCCCTGGCGCACCAGGCTCAGGTGCACGTACGTGAGCCATGCGGCGCAGGTAAGCAGCACCAGCAAGAGCAGCAGCTTGATCTGTTTGCGGATCTTCTTCACCGGGAACCACGGCATCGCGGCCGGCCCCGCCCCGCCTCGGGCCGTGCTCAGCGGTACCGCTGCGGCCCCCGGTTCCCGAGCGCCCCGCGCCGCATCTCCCGGTCCCGCATGGCCCTTTGTCCGCCGTCCGCGGCCACAGGGTGCGGCCGCGACCCAGGCTGCCCTCGGCCGCGGGCCCGGGGTGGGCGGCGGAGCGGCTCCCCGCGGTGGCCCCCGCCCGGCCCCGCCCGGCCGCTCCGGCTCCACGCTCCTGGGGGCCGCGGCGGGACCGAGCAGCATCCACGCTGCGGTGCTACCCACCGTGAAACGGGTCCGGCAGCCGCGCGGCGCGAGCCAACCGGGGCCCGGCCAGCCCGCAGGGAGCCAATCCGCGGCGCGGGAGGCGGGGCCGGCGAGTTAGGGTGTGCCCACTGCTCGTCTCCACGCAACGCGCGCGCATCCACCTGGGCGCGCCGGCCCGCGCCGCTAGCGGGCGCCGGGACCTGAAGGTGCGGAGGCCTAGGGGCCGGGGCCCAGGGGTTCACGGAGGTTGGGGAGTTGTGGGGACAGTGGAATGAGCGTATGGGGGTGCGAAGGACGCGGGGACACGGGACAGAGGTCAGGGGGTGCCCAAGGGACAGTGTGGGGCGAAGGACACGGAAGGCAGGAACGCGGGGGTGGCGGCGGGGCAGAGGGTGGGTGGGTGGGTGGGGGAACGGGCCTAAAGACGGGCGATGCAGAGGACGGGGGCTGTGGGCCTGGGACACTGGGGTGGCGATCAGGGTGTGTAGGGATGGAGGCGATGCAGAGG